ATTTTCATGTAGTAACCCATCGGAGAATATATATCTTGAAATAAAGAGAAAAGTCCAGCTTTTATAGGATGCAACGGTTAGGTATCCGCCGAGGTWCGGATCACCGAGGATCAATCATTCGGTAACCGGGTASAAGATCAAAGCMARCCTGGGAAATCCTCAAAATTTCTCCATTCTGTTATGATCTAGAATCCTTGCACAGTCGGTCATCTGATCACGGTGAATGGAATGGAAATTCTTGGCATTCAAAGTACTGTATGACGATCATTCAGACACCTCGCAACCTCAGTGACCTTCAAATGTGTTATGATGAAATACGAGCCAAACCTACCCCAGTCTCTACCGCTTTTAAAATAGTTTCAACAGTTTGCGAGGAGTCATCGTGAAATGTCAATTTACAAGACATCACGCAAAGGAAAGGAGATGAATGTATTAAAAATTCAATTGAAATAGTTTTAAGATCTTTGAAAGTTATCGTCAACAATTAGGAAATRTTTTCTGTAATTATTTTAACAGGAGTTGATTTCGTTTAAATGTTTAATGAACATTATTAATTATTTTCAACTCGTAACCTCGCTGATAATATCTATAACAAAGTGTGATTTTAAGATAATCTACTCTACGACTATCAGCAGAGATAAGTACTTCAACTGAAGGAAAACAAAGAAATTCATCAAAGGTTTTCTGTGAAGCCTTTAAGCGAGGAGAGCCGAGACCGGAAGTGGCGGGCCCATCCTCTCCGGCGATAAAACGCATTCCTATCTGGCCGCAAACATTTTAGAGTCCTGATTAGACTTAGGCGTTGTGAGATGTCATCAMTGTGGCTGCTTGTACTAAGGGGTGTATAAAGTTATCCACCGGTTAAAGCCACTCCTTAGATTTAGTTTGTGAATTTATCCCCCGGATAAGGAATTACCCGGTGGATAGCCCGGAGGGGGGGAAGGTGGCGGGGTGGATAGCGCTACTAACGCTCTTCGCATAACCGCCGTACCCGATGGTCAAAAGCTCTTCATGTGCAGCCTTCTTCTTCTAGCCTGCGTGCAGCCGAACCAAAACTAACAAAAGTTTTAGTTCGGCTGCACGCAGGCTACCGTCTTCACAATCGGGTCAACAAACACAAAGGACGATGTTTGACGGCGTCGTCATCGTCCACATTGGGATTGCTGTGTCACAGGGATGTCAACCCCAGAGCTTTATATATCTGGAGAAATTGCCTCGATTATGTGTATGACGTCACACCATGTGAATGACGTCACAAATAACGTTGCATAATCAGTTTATATACTTTTCATGCACGATGACGTAAGCAACGCCTGCAGGTATTTCGTTCCGTATCGAAAGATCGAGGAAACGTGACATAATTCATTGAAGGTTTTCTTTGAAAATACAAATCTACAACGATGGTTGGTAATTAATATCATTCTATGAAAATATCGTGCGTATCCGGGAGATTTAGGGCTAAAATCTTGAGAMCGGRAGATTCGATCTKAAACCGGGAGTCTCCCGGCAAATCCGGGAGAGTTGACGTCCCTGCTCAGTGTCAGTGTATGGAGGAAGCGGGGTTTGGGGACTCTATATAGAGATTGCTTCATGGGGTAGGGGAGAGCCTACGTAGCACTCAGTTGATGTAATATATTCATAAAGATAATGATACAAAACATAATACAATAGAACGAGAAACAATGGAATACAATACATTTTATGAATACATTACATCAACTGCGTGCTACGTAGGTCCCCCCTTCATTGGTAGTGCCAAGGATCTGATAATGTGAGATTCACCGAAAAGACGAAACGTGCAAAATCAWGATCAAGAGCAATAAAGTTTAGGTATGTTAGTTGCAGCTAGTTGCAATTGCCAAAGCATTGTTTGTTTTGACTATTTATAGACCGCGAAACGGATTCACGTGAAGAAACTAGCCTATTGTAATGCAAAAAAGTCATTAGATCATTCCAGTAACACGCTCACGGTAACCCTAGCAAGTTCATAGAACAACATTGCTGAAACTAGTTTCAATATAAATTTCACCTTGTTATCTACACTATGCAATGTTAGCATAGTTCAAGAAGATGTTCGCCAATCAGCTAACTGAAAATTTAAACAAACTTCGATGTGAAGGCGTTCTCTGTGATATTGTCATCAAATGTGGGAACGAGAGTTTTAATGCACACCGAGCAGTGTTAGCAGCCTCTTGTGAGTATTTCAGAGTCTTGTTTACAACATCAATGCAAGAAAAGACTAGCAATTTAGTTAATCTTGACGTCCCAYCATCTATTGCTGGCGAAATGCTCTCATTTCTYTATACAGGGAGGGTTGATTTGAACGATGATAATGYCCGAGAACTTCTCGTTGCAGCGGATTATTTTATGATAGAAGAACTGAAGCAACAGTGCGAGGATTTTATTCTAAAACACTTGCTCTGCGTTGRCACTTGTTTGCTGTACTAYTCCATTGCAAAGGAATACAACTGCAAAAGATTAGAAWTAACCTCTCAGAACCTCGTGCTGAACAATTTTAAAATTGTGATTGAGCAAGAGGAATATACACATCTCAGCTTTCGACATATTCATGATATTATTAGTAGTGATGATTTATTTGTAGATAGCGAACAAGATGTGTATGAAGGGATTATTTCTTGGRTTACTACAGCTAAGGAGAGAACAGAGTTCTTTGAAGAGTTATTCAAAGAAGTTCGTTTGTGTTCTGTTCCTRTTGAGTWCATCACAGGTACAATTGCGAAACACCCGCTAGTCAAGCAAAACGATGCTTGCATGTCTCTTGTTTTTAAACGAATAGGTTCAGCGTTAATGGAAAATGATCGCCAACAAGATTTAAAAGTTCAACCACGAAAATGCTTGCAAACCAAAGAGGTAGCCATCGTTTGCCTCGGTGGAATAGCTAATGGTAAAACTTCGAAAGAAACTCTAGTTTATAYCCCCCACAWAGATACGGTGARSAAACTAGACGATATGTCTGTTGGGAGAGACGAGCATACTGTAGTAGTTGGMAATAATGTTCTGTACGTCATCGGTGGTGTACAATGTCCGAAAGGCATCGAATGTTATAACCCGGCGATTAATGCTTGGTGCTCTATGGCCTCCCTACCCGAGAGATCTATAGGATCCACTGCAGTTTACATCGATGGCMAAATCTACATAATGGGTGGAAGGGATGGTTTCGAGTGCGTCTCGACTGTACAATGCTACAATATTGMAWATCAATCAGTGGAAATATTACCAAGTTTGACTTTTCCTCGAAAAGCCGCGAACGCTGTTTACCTAAATGACGGTATATACCTGATTGGAGGTTGTACGTATGACAACGATGCCTTGGATACAACTGAAAGAATGATGGTAGGAAATGAAAGAAAATGGGAAAGGAAAGCKYCACTTTCACACCGTCGTAAATATTCATGTGCGGGCGTAATTGCTAGCGGGAAGATATTGGTCGCTGGCGGGTTTSAAGATAGTAATCCCATTGCTCTARGCACATGCGAACTTTACGACCCAGTGTTGGACACATGGAACGAGATATGCAGTCTTGATGTGCATCGTGGCGCTGCAGCTATGGGGTTTGTAGGAAATCATGTTTATATTTTAGGTGGGCGAAGTGATCGTCGAAGCACTGACGCAATAGAATAYTACGACGAAGAAATTGACAAGTGGAGCCTGTCAGAMACACGTTTACCAAGSCCATGTGCATGGCTGCAATGTGGAGTTCTAACATTCACAAAGTGATTGGCTTCACGTGTCCGTCGTAGATTAATTGCAAAACGTTGTCATAGAGAATATTYATCTACTTTAATGACAAATGAACATCACTCAAGATTGAACAACCAGCGCGGCTAGGTCACAGAACCTCGCCATTTTATGAAAAAAAAACACGGCTATTTTACACAGTAATAGATTATGGTGATTTCAATACTTGCGTGATCGATACGCCAAGCGTAAAGGCGTAGTCACTTAAGAAAACAATGTTCTTTGAATTGTTCGAATCGCTCCTGTGGCCAACACAATCGAAATAAATCGGCGTCTACTTCTTGAGGCGAATCTTTTCYATCGAGTTCACCATCAGATCATCCATATTGGTCATTTCTTGGACGGTTTTTTCGATCAATTCACTGAAGAAATTTGGCAAAAACGAGTCTAATTTTTTTCTTTTACGCTCAAGCAAGAGACCGTCTTGAACAACTTCCTTGATAAAGTTTACTGAAAATGTRTGTCTTGCTTCTGATTCCTGTTGTATTAAGAAAAAAAATAATATTTCAAATGATATCCATAACACAAGACTATTATTACAATAAACTGCAAGAATGCACCCCTTGTGGTTCGTGAGAATGAATAAGCTCCATCCACACGGAACGAAAGCTCTACACACAACAATGGAAAACTATGTCTCCCACATGAAGCTGAGGTTTCTTTATAAAATGATTAAAAACCTAAATACAACCTCCSCCTTTCTGTCATCAATGCCCGCAGGCCAGTATTGTAGTCCAGCTCGACCAACCGACTCAGCTGATGATGTCCTTTCGTGTTTACTGTCTAGCTTTTTGGACTTGTCGTCATTGTTCTTTCTCCTAAACGACAATATTATGAACGCAGCTTAAAACAGGAATTAATACCGACCCATCGTAATTCATGGTAAAGTATTTTGATCTGGAGGACAAAACAATAGACTGTAAGTTAACAAAAGAGCAAAAATCTCTTGTTTTGTCTACCAGTTGAAACTGTTTTGATCATGCAAATTGTTTATAGAGCTGAATCACCTTGAGTCACCCAGCAAGGTCAATAGCCTTGATTGTGGTAGCTGCGAGGTAGTTACATACGCAAGATTACCAAATAGTTTCTCAGCGAACACTGTGTCTTCTGCTGTAACCTGTTGGACAGGGAAGTGAGATAAATAGAGGATATTACATGGGCGTGCGGAGATATAGAGGATATTATATGGGCGCGCGGAGATACGGATTTTATCTTCGAGTGTTGAAAAAATCTCTCACGAGTGAGCGTAGCGATAAAATTCGTATCTCCAAGCGAACATGTAATATTCTATTTATCATATAATTGTATATGAAAGCAAATTATGTCGTAAAATAGCTTTTTCCTTACTTCCACTATATAGAGAAACCCCGAATGTGTTATTTTCACTAGTGAAAATATCCAGTTTACGAAATGGAGAAATATAGGTGTTTCATAGATAATTATATGATAAATAGCTTTTTTACACCCACAACCAACAAGGACAAATGGACCAATCTTAGAGACCAAATTGGCAAAAATTAACTRCAAACTTTACTATGAAATACTTTCTTTCTCTTACCTCGATATCATTAATTTTTCTCAGTGACAAGTGCGCTAATCTAAATAAGGTATAGGGTTTCCATAATGTGTAGTTGGTAACAGGGTTGCCTTCATGGTTAATAGTTAACGAATCTAGTTTGCGTAACGCTGATAAAGCGTTGATTTGCTGTAAACTRTGAATACTTGTTTCTGTGAATATCATACCCTGGGAATAGATAAATACATAAATAATAGATAAATAATAAATAATAGATAATAGATAAATACACATAAGAAAACATTGTAACTACTGAAATTTAAGACTGGTTTTCACTAGTGAAGTTGAGGCGGAGATTGAGAAGGAAGGCGCTGTGAAAACCAGCAAACAGAGAAGAAAAGGATAAAGAAAGTAGAATAACAAATAAAAACCTTCCTTTCTCCATCATTCAACGCATTTTTCTGTCTCTGTTTCCGTCTACGTCTCCGTTTATTTCACATGTGATAACCAGGCTTTGCGAATCAACAAGATAACTAAAACAAGTGATTCTAAACTCGCTCATAATAGAGTGGTTTTCATTAACCCGTGAAACACACTTTAGCGTATTTATCGCTATTACACTTTGGCTCTTTTTTTTTAGAGTGGTTTTCATAAACCCGTGAAACACACTTTAGCGTATTTATCGCTATTACACTTTGGCTCTTTTGCTTTTTTTATTGTCTCTATGCGACTATTACGATCTATTACACTCTMATTATTACACTTTGTTTCACGGGTTTATGAAAACCACTCTACTATAATTATTCATTTATATTCATAGATCTATTACTCCATCCATAAACTAATACTCCACCTCTCTATCAATATAACCATTGATTCAGTAAACATACCACTAAAGCAGGAAATCTGACGCTTATTTTATGAAAACAAGGCACAATGGAATCAAAATCGATAAATTTAATGGAGAGAAGAGAGACGCTATTAACAGYCTGTGTTCCCCAGTTCCTATCCAGWGCGTCCAAAGATCCTGGTCCGTATAGATAAAGAGTYTCTCCATCTAATTCAGCRAGGTGACATATACTTAACGAACYATCTAGAGATCTGCAAAGACGATCATGTATTAAGCATAAGTGTCGCATTTTAGGATTTTTGACAGTAATATATGAATATGTGAATGCGCGCATAGATGGAGGTGGGAGGGAGGGGGTGGAGAAATTGAGGAACGGAAAAAAGGATGGGGAGAGGGAGGGACAGAAGAAGAAAGGAATGAATGAAGGGAAAAAGAGGAGTTAGCAGAAAGGGCTAGCTGTGTTAGGTCCACAGGAGAGCTGGAGAGAGGGAGGAACGGTAAAAATGAGAAACAAGTAGAGAGGCAGGGCGAGGCAGACAGTGAGTGATAGAGAAAGGAAGGGGGTTAACAATAAACGTTACGGTACTTACAAAGCTGGATCGCTTTGGTCAGTTAGTGAGGACACTCCTGAACTTGATGAATTGTGAGAGGTTGTCTTGGGACTACTATTAAAGAAAGACGCAAGAAATGTCAATCTAGCGCGTGAAGTAAGCCTTGACAAACTTGACGCAGCATTGCAAACAAGTTTATTCTGAAAATATTACGATGAGAGAACAATGAGGCCAAATGATGATGATAATTATAGTAAAGATGAAATTGTGATTGTATTACTCACCCATCTCTGAAACTCTTCGATTGGTTTAATTCCCATTGTTTTTGGGCGTTAAAAATAGCGATGCGTCGTTTTTCCTGCAAAAAAAAAACAACAAGACATTCTATGTGTGAATTTGTGTCGATCACTACCTGCAAGTTACAACTCTGCAGCTTTTACGTCATGTACCGTATACGCAATGAATTGTAGGACATGTTTGGGACAAAACATGTCGGATTTCTTTTGTTTTCTCTWGAAACTGATCCCACAATGCATTGAAAATCAAGTAGTGACGTAAAAGGTTCTATTATCATGATTATTGATGCATTATTCTGCATGTGTATAAGCAATTTCCATAAAAGACATCGAAAATCAGCCTAAAAAACACTTGACAATCGTTTCATGCAAAACTAACTGAATTGGAATTGGAATCAGCTCAAGTGTGAGAATGTGAAAAAAAGATGAGATGATAAGAGTTACAGTGCTAAACCCCGTGCATGCAAAAGCGGTAGAATCTTGCTCATCATGCTCCATTACCTGGATTTCAGCTCGAGATAATAGAGAAGACATACCATGGACGTGCTATGAGAGAACAGTAAGCAGTGCAAAGATTTGAAATGTTAGGATTAAGAATAGAATAGAAATGACGAAGGATAAAATGAAACAGAAAATAGGAAGTGTGAGGATCAAGTCGAAAGGAGTGGGAAAGAATAAAATAGAGTAGAGTGGAGTAATATGGAATAGAAAAGAACATGGAATGGAATGATAATTCTACCTTTAAAAGAGCCAATTTGCTGACTTCCTTTTTCTTTTCTTCCTCCTTTTTCGCCATAACAGTAGCTATTCTTCGTTCTTCTTCCTACAACAATCACATGTTAACGTAATCGTTACACCTCACGTAAGAGAGACCACGATCTTGCGTAATGCACAGTACGTAGCCATACGTACCGTAACTCGCTTCATATCTAGCTGCCTGATACACGGCACACTCTTTAGGATAGTCTGTTTATAAGTGACTTCACCGGCGAACGGATTACCATCCAATGATAATTCAATGATGGAATTTGACCGCGATAGACTCATAATATCTTCGAAACTACAAGTAGAAAGAACAAATTAAACCTTTGTCATTTAAAGGGAGAATTACTTTACATAGACCTCACCTTGTGATGCAATTAAAACTAAGAAATAATCTTTGCAAACTAGTAAGTCGATCAACTTCATCCTGTCAAGTAATGCAATGCACACTATGTTAACGTTACAGTAGTTAACATAGTAAAGTGAAGGATGGTTCAATAGATGAATAAACAAACGAATGGGAAATGGAGGAACGGATGAACAAACAACCAAATGAACGAATGAATGAATGGAAGGAAGGAAGCAGGAAAGAAGAAATAAAGAAATAAAGGAAGGAAGGGACAAGCAAGCAAGCTAAATAGAAAGGTAGGAAGGACTACAAATATATGAAAAACAAACGAATGAGGAATGGAGGGATGGAGGGATGGAGGGATGGAGGGATGGATGAACAATCTAATGAAAAACGAAGACATGAATGGAAGGAAGGAAAAAAGGAAGCAAAGAAGAGAGCAAGCAAGGAAGCTAGGAAGAAGGAAGAGAAAATAATGCCTGTATACAAGTATTAATGACAAACATCGATAAATGAATCTGAAGATGGATAAATAATCAACAAATACTTATGAAAAATAAAACTTATCAATGACGCATTATACTCACAACAATACAGATTTTGTTTCGTCTAAGGTTTAACTCGGCCAATGCTATCATACCACTGATGTTAGCAACATGCTGGATATCATTACCAGCTAAATTTAAAACTCGTAACTCCTTTAGGTGGTTGAGATTCTCAATTTTACTTATCTGAATCAAAAGAAATATGAACGTTAATCCACGTTAGACATTGCGATAAACTGACTGGTAAATACTTACCCTATTTCCATGTAAATCAAGGACATCTAATTTTGTTAACGAGTCTAGATTCTCAATCCTTTTGATTCTAAAAAGTAAAAGTATTAGGAAATAAAGACCTTGTTTTGTAAACATCACATAATTAACTTTTAAATGCTTTCAAAATTGAAGTGATTTTAAATGTTTAGTTTATACTAAATGTGCATAGTTATTGTTRCGACATGAATTAATCTTACCTATTTTTGCCTAACATTAGCACTCTCAATGACTTCAAAGAAGAAAGACCCGATATTTCCTCTATTTGGTTATCATATATATCTAGGAAAATCAGCCTTCGTAAATTTGATAAATGCTGGATTTTACTGATGAGATTGTGTTGAAAGTTCAGCAGTCTAAGATTGTCTTCTCCTTCAAGTATTGGGCAAACAGTGAGACGCCGCCTGAAATATAGAACATTAATAATGTCGATGAAAYAGGAACCATCACGATCGTCAAAGACTACAMGGTCGATACATCWCTATTCCATGATGTATCCTGTGTAGACTTGAGCTTAAATTCCTCCTGTTTTGTTCCCCTTAGATGTACCTGTCAAGGTTAAGTCTGTCCGGGTTGGCCTGTCTTTCCTCCGGTAATCGGTACACTATTGGTACACCGGGTACTGACGGGGATTCGGCGAAGATTACCCGATCACCTGACACAAAAAAAGATAAGAGAACTTGATTGATCATTTTGCTTTGACTTCAGGGTGAAATTGCGTTGTTGCCAATGTTGTTGATAGTGATGTTATCATTGCTTGTTTTCGATGATAATGTTGTTTCTGYTGCCTTTTTSGTGCTTTTTTCGTTAAATTTGCTGCTGTCGTAGTTGCTGTGGTCGATGGTGTTGCTGCTGCAGTTGTTCTTGTTGTTTGTTGTTGCTGTTGTTGCATTTATTATTGGTAATTATTGTTGTTGTTGTTGTTGTTGTTGTCAACATTATTGTTGGTTTCGTTGTGGAACTAAACGTCAGTCATCTCTTTAGATAATAAGAATAAATGTGGAAAAAGTACAGCAACCCTTGATAAAGACAACAAAAGTAGAGAATCACTTTTTTTCTTTACAAAAAAGACGTGACTAAATTGACAGAATGGCAATAGAAATGGCCTAAAAGACAAAACTACGATGTAAAGCACCTTGCTATCACATTAACAGAAATTCGTTGTAAGAAAAACTAATAATTTCCTGGACATAGTAACCGACGACTTCACCCCAAAACATTGCACATAATCAATATTAAAATCACAAGATACTTTTAGTATTTACAAAGAAACTATAAACATACACTATATTTTCAGTATATCTTGACTTAAAGTAGTATAATTTTAAYCATAAAATTTGATGAGTCGATTAACATTCATGAACATTGGAGTAGCGACCGTACGTACCTCTATCTGCGAGTAAACTTGAAGAATTCGAACAAGATGGAAAGTAAAACATAGTGACAAACTTTTACGAAAAAGAGTTGGAATGAATACAATTCATTTGCAATACAAATTACTTAAAACAACTGGCAGCCCTTTCTAAGATCTTGAATTTCAAAATACATTTTTGAACACGTCTCTTTTAAAAGCACTTCGTAGTTTGGCAATGTTGTGTTTGTAATTCTACCATACCAAATACGCATAATTAGCTAACAGAATACAATAGAGAGTGAAGTTATTAATAATACATAGTGAAGTACTATAAAGGTGCCAGAAACTCTTAGAATTTAAAGTGATAACGTTTCTTGGATGTGAACCTCCTTTAGATTTTTATATCAACACCTCAGTTAACACATCAAAAGTGTTTGTAAAAAGAATTGCTCTCAAAAATGCAAAGTAAGATATTGGGCCCTGTAACAAATAGCCGGAAATATTTGCAGCCTCGTTGGGTTATCATAGCGAGCATATGTATCCGGAATTTTGCAAAATTGTCTTCAGAGTAAAATTGTTTTAAACGCTCCGAAAACGCATACATTTGTTGTAGATTTCCGGACACGTTCTTCCCTGACGTTACTGAAACAGAGTCTAAAGCGTGTTTAATAATATCATGGTAAGAGTGGTTCTAGAATCTCCTCAACAACTTTAATACAAAGTGATGAAAACCTCTAAACGCGATGCTTTTACACTTTTCACAAGTGCTCCTCAAGAATTGGGRAATAACATGGAACATAGACATTTGTTTTTATTGCTTGGAAAACGAATCGCCCCCTTACGAAATGCCGTTAATTACACCATAGTTAGTAGAGGGGAAACATTATGGCAACGTCTTAATGGGATTTTTACTAATGGAGGTTAAAGCCAAGTGAAATTAGACGGGTTGTAGAAGGTATGATAGGTAAAATTCACACTTTTAATAGTAACATCTAGTTTAACATAGATTTGCATATAYATTAATATACATTACTATCCTTGTGTGAATCTCTACGGCTTGAAAAGTAACGTAGAAACTAAAAATTTAATATGGACAGTGTTTCCACTACGACATGTATACTAAATTGCCGGATTTGTTACGACCGATACAGTTTTCTTCWCGATATYRCTTTTTTCCATTTACAATTCTCAAGTGTGCATTTTGAAGTGTGGATATTGAGTCAGGAAGCTCTTCGAGAGGGTAATGAGATAGTAATGAGTACATCACCGTATTGGACATTAACACCAACGATGTTTTAAGATAAACACTTGGAAAAAAGCTATAAGTAGAGCAAAATACAAGCAAATAAAAAAAACATTATATCCAGAGAAAATACGCATATATTTCATTTTTGACGATTAGAATGAATCTTACTCAGCTGAAAGACCTACATATATAGTTAATTTCGATAAGGCACTAATGAAAATATCAAACTCTACACCTGTAAAACACAGACTAGTTTACACCATTAAAACGAATTGTATAAAAAATGTACTTTTTYCACTCTTTCAAAAGAATTTCTTCAAACGATACGATAACATTGCGATATCTTGAAAAAAAATATAGCGTGCACGACAATTTTCATTAAATAAACGCAGGATTCTTGARGTTCAATTTTGACAAGTATACAAAGAATAATAATTGTACTAGCTTTTTGTGACCTACTGTGACTCAATGAAAGAATGAACTGAAAGAAAAAGAAACTCCAAGGGGTGAAGTCTCAGCAGAGTCTATAAATATAGCATACACAGAACCAATTTGAAAAAAAACGTTAAACAAAAACTAAAAAAATCTGAACTAAAAAAAACATYCATTCTAGCTACGATGGAAAAGTAAAGTATCAAATGCAATCGTTRTCGAAAATCAAACATTCTAGATGATCAACCGTTCTCGAAAGCTAATCAAATACGCTCTAGAACATTTGATCGCTCACGCAAATACAATAGTACATTACCTATGTATTTTCCTGGGTTAACCATCTTATACGTGACAGGATTCACATATCGTCCATCCATGATCATCCAATTTTATACACAGAGTGTATTTAATGCTTTAAAATCGAGAAAAAAACTTCACTCCTTCAACTCAGAATCTCTATAACCATTCCGATTTTCAAAACATTTTCTTCTTGCTGATTTGTAGATATTTCACAATACATTATAGATTCCTCTCATAGGATAAAATAATATAACTAGTAAGATTCCGATGTTGAAATGCAAAGACATAGTTATTGTAAATGACATTTGTCATGAGGAGATTATGCTAATGACAAAAGTTGTTATAATTGAATAAAGTGGGGCCATAGTATTGTCAACAACATTCAATATTTTGACTTACAACATAAACAATATGAATCATTAATGTCTGCAGCAAATAGCATTATTTTACTCTATACGAACGGCTTCAAAATCTACATTATGAATATTAGAAAAAGAGATACAATAACGTTGTAAAATAACGTTGTAAAATGAGAGTGTTACTTTAAATTTTGTGCACAGTACTCCACTATATGTGAATGAGTACCACTTGTCTTTAGAAATCAAAGAAGGAAGTTCTCATTTCTCTAACTTGAGAATTCAAAATATACATACACAGTTGTATCACAAACAGCTGCTCTCTTTTTTCTATGGTTTTATCAAGTCAAATAAGAAAAAAGACTAGTTTAATGTAAGTTATTAAAAAAAGAACTAAACATATCATTCATTTGTTCCATTAAATACAGTTATTGATAAGGAGCAATTTTTATAATTAATGTAATTTGTGCAAGTATGACGTATGTTGATTCTAAATGAAGTTGTCACTTAATCAGTCAGAATTTGCTTGGTGTTGCAGAAACTGCTGACAAACAAACTGATCAAAAGATGAATTTCTTAATCAGATTGCCTGCCTTCTATATACATAGATATATTGTGGTAAATCTAAAAAAGTGTTCAAGATTTTTTTAAATTATGGTAAGTATTTAGTAGTGGAGAAGTATAGCAAAACAAATCTTCACTTGCATCCAAAAATAGTTTTCAAATCTACTTATCAGGTGGATTTTACCTCCAATACCCCCTCCCCTAGGTCTACCTCCAATACCCCCTCCCCTAGGGCTACCCCCAATTCCCCTCCCCTAGATCTACCCCCAATACCCCCTCCCCTAGGTCTACCCCCAATACCCCCTCCCCTAGGTCTACCCCCAATTCCCCTCCCTGTACTTGGTCTCATACCTGGAAGAAACACTTGGCTTTTGTCACCTAATCTAGACTGCGTACCAGCACTTAAAGCTTGTCGTATTTGATACCCTTCAGCTTCATCTTCAACAGACTGCTGTGCATTGATGCTGTTTTGTGATGGCGGAGCTGTGGAGCAGTTGTCATGAGCATTGGAGGACTGGTGAAGAATCTGTCGCTGGACTTTATGAAGTTCACGGAATGATGGAGTAGCATAGGTTTGTCTTGGATCTTGGGATGTATCAGGGACAGAGTGGGAATATTCTAAGTAAAAAATATGAGAGAAGACTTCATTATGGTGGCCTTTATAGTAATGCTCAGCCACAGGGATCCCAAGAGGATATCTATGTAGGCTATTACTATGGCTGCTCTGATAATACAAATTACACAGGCAATCCAACATAATGAGTGCATGACAGACAGATATTGAATAATAATATAGTTTTTAATTTGACTATTTTAAGTCATTATCAGTCAAATATCAGAACTTAGAACAAGGAAAACTAAAAGTTTTTCTTGCAGCAAAGTTCCTTTGTGATCACTCAAGAATAACAAGACAATTTTTCCTAAGGGTAGTGGAAGCAAATTTCCACAAATAATATGTCAAGCTTGATGACAAATCAATGCATGAATTTGATATAAACCCAACCCGATTTCATTTGACAATTTCAATGATAAGGACAGCAATTGTTAATAACAATTATATCTGAAGTCTTGTAACTGAGGAGGTTTTCAATAAAACGAAACTAGTTTTACAGACAATACAAACTGATTTTGTGCGTCAAGACCAAATGAAATCAAGATGAAATTAATATCAAAGTTTTGCAAGGCCAAAATACTCAATATATCAAAGAATTATATCTGTGTAATGACATAACTCAAGAGAAAGTCACTGACACTCTGCACATTATAATAATATAGATCAACTTACGTAACAAGGAGGCCTGTCTTTCTTGTACTCGTGTCTTTTCATGATCTACAAATGCTTTAGTAATGTTATTAAACTTTGAACTCCTATTTATGTTTGTTCCTGAACCAGAAGATGGTCTTGTCAATGTCAGCTCATTGCTCTGTTTCCAATCTGCAGACTGAAAAACATAAGGAACGAACTAATAATTAAAAAGATAAAACATGAACAATTAGGATACTATTGGACCAAATTAGGATAATATTGGACCATAACTTTGCAAAATGTTAATTGGATTTCAGATTGTACAAATTTTATCGTAAACTATTTTTGAAGTGCAAAGATAGGAAGTTTTGTTTACTTAATTTCTCCCCAGAACCCACTTACATATCAAGTGCAAAAAGTCTATACTATATGGGACAGCTACATTGTAGTTTAATTAAATTAAAATGAGCAGCGCTTGAGAGAACAAGACGAAAACTCACCAGATAAATCGAAAATGAAAATGACAACTGCTAATACATTAGAATTATCATAAACAAATACACAACCAAAGTACAAAAGAAAACATAGTTAAGTAATTATGCCAATGACATAACCTAGTAAAATAACAAAGCCTTCTTCAACTTTAGGACATGTACGTCTAAGTGGTGCTATACGTACTTGTTTAGGGTTCGAAGCAGGTCTTTCGTTAACTTGAGAAGCCTGTGCCTGAAGGCTGTAGTTAAGATTAAAGTTTATTCCCTGAAATGAAAGTAAACGGATCTAATAAATTGAACTTTTTGGATCACACTGACAAGAGTTGAGTCGAGAAAGATGACCTACTTCTCTCGCTATTACACGGCCAGTTTTTGCAGCTCTGCTTGGATGGTGGTACATAGTATAGACACTTCAGTTCTCTATGTTATAAATATATATTTTATCCATACTTTATCCATTATTGCAATTATTATTGCACCAAAATGTGGATAACTGTTATGATCATTGAAACAAACGTCGACGTATTTCGGACGCCATCTTGAATTTGCCGCTGGACTCGTTGCCTGGCAGCCACTCGGAAGTCCCGGATGGATGAACAAATCTGAACAACATTGAAAACAAAACAAAACAAACATAAATTAAGCAAAACATTGAAGAACGAAACAAAATTCAAAAGAAAAACAAATAAAACAAAAACAAACAAACACAAAAGTAAACGAAATGAAATAAAACAACAATTCGAACTCCCTATTACCCCCACCTGAATTGTAAAATAATAATGCACGAATCATTTTTTCGATTTCTTACATGGATATAGGTATAGATTATATTATTTTATAGTTTTATTGTGCTCAGGACACCCATTGATAACAGATGCACATGCAACTGAAGGGACCACCCTGTATATTCTTCTTCTTATAATCTGTAATCTCATGATGACGTTGCCAAGTTTCGTGACCTAAATGGCCCCGTCACATGCCCCAGAAACACAAGAATGACTGTCGTCTTCTCATAAAGATAGTGACCACTACCATTGGTATATTTACATCTTATCTCATCCACATATAAAATGTCGACAGGTAAAGAAACAAATGCTGAACCAGCTGTTCGTGGCGATATCCAAGAAGAAGCACTGGTGTTGAAAGGTAATCATATCCATTCCTGATTTTGTTTGTACGACCTCACGTATCAAACGCGAACTCAAATAAAAAGATACTACAAGCCAATTAAACACTATTACCAGGGCAATCAAGTGTTTAATAGTAGTTTCGGCACTAGATAGTAGATCGATATAACGGTTAATCACTGCCGCAGTTATGTATAATTGGATCAGCGTGCGCTGTGTAACGTGTTGATGCACATTTTTGCAATGTTTCACAGTGAAATCCAAACTAGCTGAGTCACTGAGCTCTTGAGCATTTAGCGAAAGCATTGTCTATAAAGTACACTCTATCTAGCTATCATTACACACCTTCAAAACGACCCTCTTTGTTCAGGAAAACCGCAAGTGATCTCCTGCTCTTAAATGGAAAAATAATACTCAATTACTAAACAAATTTASATGCCCATAATCATTTCAAAAAAATAACACTATCATTTCTAAATGACAACATTTTTTTGGAAGTAGTCTATACTTTTGTATTTATTTCAATGTTCCAGATCATGGCGAAGAAAACAGTGACGAAAYAGAGACAAAATCTCGTCAGTTCGACGACCTTTTTGATCACATCAACTCATTTGGGAAGTACCAACTTTTTCTTTACATCTTTATTATGTTGCTGTGTCCACCCCTCTCCTCGCAGTTTAGCGCATTGATTTTCGCATTTGGAACTCCCACATTCCAATGTGCGACTCCTAATGTAACATGTTCTCAGGGGAAGTGCTGTGAAGACTGCACATCTTATGTTTTTAAACCTAAAACCTTCACGACGACTGCATCGGAGGTAAGAGAATGTTCTCTCTAGCACGGAATTTGTTTTTTTCTGCCCCTCACATAACGGCATCGGTTTTGTACACAAAGCATAAGTGTATATTTCAAATTTACCAATAGATTTCTTTTTAAAACACACGTAGAAGAAACAAAACTAAGTATTTATAGATTTCTTTTTGTTTATATTTGTGACATCATCACTGTAAGTCTATGAATGTTCCCTCGCTCTATGTCAATTTTGGCTCCGCCGCCCCTGTGTTTTTGTACCCCTCTTTTCATCATTCCCTTGCCCCACCCACATCTCCTTGACTGCGACAGACAGACAGTTTGATTTAAAGACAAYTATCTCSTTTAGTGGAACCTTGTCTGTGAAACCGCCTATAAAAATGCTGGTCTCCACTTGTGTTACTTCGCGGGAATGCTCGTTGGTTCTCTGTTCAGCGGTATGATCTCCGACGCTTGGGGAAGAAAAAAGCTCATCATCGTCACTTATGTCGTCATGGTAATTAATTGAAAATACATGAATTAAGAACCTTAGTCAAACGACCACCGAGTGTTGATTAAGAGAAAGGTCTCTAAAATCGGTGGACCTCCTTAAAACGACCACCTATTATTTAAACGACCACCAAATTATGATTGCTATCACCTGCATAGTGTCTTTATAGGAAGCGGTCGACCT